TATTTTGAAATTAAAACTTTTTTTTTTATTTTTCCTTTAGAAAGTTTTGAACCTAGTTCACAAATTGAGTCGTCAGAAACGAGCTCTTCCAGTCAACAAGGCTTTCAGAGAGATCCCAGTTTTTATTTTTTATTATATTCGATTGTCAAATTTTCAATTCTTCTGGACCAAACGTGCCTTTATTTTTAAGGTTCAGGAAAGAGTGAGATGCATTGGACCTTACAAAATTTGAATCTGAAATAAATGATCCGATAATCTGTAATATTCTGAAAAATGATATTCTCGACATAAGTGAGTTTGCAGAGCCGATTATTTAGAATTTTTAAAATTGACATTGGTATTCATTGGAGTAGTACCTGATAATGTTGTGTTTCATGTTCCTATTATTTTAAAAGCGCATAGTAATGATAAAATGTTTTGGAACATAGTCAATGAAAATAAGTATCCTATTTTAAAAAAATATGGACACCCAAGTTTCACACTGAATTATATGTATCATTATGTATGACACCAACAAAATAAAGTTATAAAAAATCTGTTTTCTTTTTAACGCCTATTTATACCTGTTGATTATCTGTAAAATATGCGCCTTCGGTGATTTCTAAATTTAGTATTGCGCCCTTAAGGACAAACAGGTTGCGGACCCCTGATCTAGACAGTCCTGTATGCACTATAATAATTTCGTATGTGGGGACCATCAATTAAAGCAAATAATCTGTACACAAAACAAAAATAATAGTTCGGAATAATACGTTCAAATTAAGTTTTTTTGTAATCTTTCAAATACCTAATTCACAAATAAAAGCATTTATATCCTAATATTTACCTTTAAACAAATCTATTACAGTATCAAGAGCTACTGTATTATTACATTTCACTAATAATACTATGCCAGTTTTTGTGGAAATCAATGGAATTTTTATCAGGAATAATAAAAAATTGGTTTGGCTTTTATTAATAGTTAGTCACCCGAATCAAAAATTAAACGAAAACAATCAGAAGTATTGATGATTCAATTTTTGCACATGATTCACCTTCACTTCACGGTACGAGTAAAACCTAAGTTTCTTTAGTTTATTACAAGCGAACTAAATTTTGTGGTTAAAAATTGTAACAATTAAATAAAATAAATGCTTCATCTTTTATATATTATTTTACATAACGCCAACAGGCTTCAGACAATTACTAGCTTTTAGTGTAAGGTACAAAATATAAATTATAACGAATATATCAAAACTTTACTCCATTAATAATTGCGTTTTATGTTATAACCCGATCGTCACAAAAGTTTCGAAATCCTTTGAAACATTTGAGATTGGCTAATGCAAGTCTTTATTATACGTGATGTTAGACATTCTTTAAGCAATTAAAAAATAAGTGACGGCGTTTTGCTTTATGTCCAATTTTAAAAATGCCTCACATTGATAAACAAAATGCACATCTTCACAAACAGAACAAGTACTAATATGTGTGGCCGCAAATACATTTCAATGAGATTTTTGAAGTTTATTACTATAATCAGAAAATACATTTTATTGATGCGTATTAAATTCATTCGATTCCTAGACAATGGTTAAGTTAAGCTAAAGATAAAAGTTCACCTTCACCTCTAGAGATTTAGACTCTCTAAATTTTAGAAAATTCTCATCCTTGTCTAATTGTTTCCCTAAATTTAGCGTTAATAATGAAAATCAGTTACGTGTCCACTATTGGCTGCTCGTAGGTTTTTGGAATGTTATCATAAAATCTTTGTGATGCTATGTGGGAGTCTTTCAGAATACATTTTATATGAAAAGTGATCGAATATTGTTTTGCAAAATAAATTTGGAATTTTCGAACAATTTTTCAAGATGTAATACAATTTTCAGCTGAAACATCCTACAATTACACCGATTAAGCTACATCACTCCTCAAACAAGGAGCTGATACCAGAATATCCTCCATATATACGACGGCTGCTGAAGTCCTAGGTCAACTACAAAAGCCGGTACACCCAACTACGCTAACAGCGATGTGCACCACGGATCGTCAAGATTGCTCAACACCGAAACAATATAAATACCAAACAGCAGCTTTCATCCCTCATACCACATCGAACCTTCGAGCCGATCAGACGTCAGCAGCAGACCAGCAGCAAATCAATCCAGCAACCAAGCAACCAGCCAGCAGCAGTCAGCGAACGACCAAGAGCGGAACGAAATTATTCGATTGCTTCTTTAGACAGCTTTCTTTTTTCACAGATAAACTCTANGCCACATGCCAGCATACAACAATAAAAGCTCAAATATTTAATGTGTTTTATGTTATTAACCCGATCCTCACAAAAGTTTCGAAACCCTTTGAAACATTTGAAATTGGCTAATGCAAATCTTTATTATACGTGATGTTAGACATTTTTTAAACAATTCAAGAATAAGTGACGACGTTTTCCTTTATGTCTAATTTTAAAAATGCCTGACATTTATAAATAAAATGCAAATCTTCACAAACAGAACAAGTATAAATAAGTATAAATACATTTCAATGAGATTTTTGCTGTTTATTGCTATAATTAAAAAATACATATTATTGATGCGTATTAAATTCATTCGATTCCTAGACAATGGTTAAGCTAAAGATAAAAGTTCAGCTGCACCTCTAGAGATCTAGACTCTCTAAATTTTAGAAAATTCCCATCCTTGTCCAGTTGTTTCCCTAAATTTAGCGTTAATAATGAAAATCAGTTACGTGTCTACTATTGCCTGCTCGTAGGTTTTTGGAATGTTGTCATCAAATCTTTGTGATGCTATGTGGGAGTCTTTCTAAATACATTTTAGATGAAAAGTGATCGAATATTGTTTTGAATAATAAACTTCTAATTTTCGAACAATTTTTCAAGATGTAAGTAATACAATTTCAGCTGAAACATCCAATAATTAAACCGATTAAGCTACATCACTCCTCAAACAAGGAGCTCATACCAGAATATCCTCTATACATACGACGGCTGCTGAAGTCCTACGTCAACTACAAAAGCCGGTACCCACAACTACGCTAACAGCGATGTGCCCCACGGATCTTCAAGATTGTTCAACACCGAAACAATATAAATACCAAACAGCAGCTGTCATCGACATGTGACTCCTCGACTGATCTTCGACCTGAGCAGACGCATCGAGCAGAAACCACAGCGAGAAGAATACCAGAGAGCGTAGCTACCAGCTTGATAGCTTTTCAGTCTTTTTCAAAACTAATTTTACAAAATCGAAAAGAAGTAATGGACGACGACACCGGAGGAAGCCAAACAGCGATGGACGAAGCGGCTGCTTGCAGCTCGCGAACCCCTTCCGCTAGGACGGCGGAAACCGAGTTCCGTTTACCATCGAAACGCCAGAGGGTAACCGACCTGAGAGTGAAGACGCCACCACCGACCGAGACGAATAATTTCTACGATCCATTGTCGTCGGAAATGGACCTGTCGGATAGCGAAGCGGAGCATTCGCCTACCAGATTGGCACCCAAGAAGACCAGGGTTCCGCCTATAATCGTCAGACACACAGGAAAGTGGACCAGCCTGTGTAATCAGATGAAAGCAAGAAACCTCAACTTTACCAAGGCGAGAAACATGGCGACAGGCATCGGCATCCAACCAGCTTATGTAAAAGACTACAGGGGTATCATCCATTTATTGGATAAACAGAAAATTAAATACCATTCCTTTCTATTGCAGGAAGAAAAGCCGCTGAAGATAGTTATACGCGGCATTCCAGTCAACACCTCGACAGATGAGGTAGAGGACGATCTGAAGGAGAAGGGGCTCCCAGTCCGAAACGTCGTGAGGAAGACGTTAGCGAAGACGAAGGCCTAGATACCGCTGGTCCTAGTGATACTGTCGAAAGACAGTAAAGCCAAGGACATCCTTAAGGTAACAACGGTGTGTTTCCTTAAAGTTTCAGTTGAATCGCCACGACAACGGACCACCATCGGGCAGTGCCACCGCTGCCAACGATTCGGCCACGCACAATTCCGCTGCACGGCCAAGCCACGCTGTGTTAAGTGTGGTGAAGGTCACCTGACCAAGGACTGCGCAAAGCCAAGGGAGCAACCGGCAACGTGTGCCAACTGTGCCGAAGCTCACCCAGCGAGCTATTGAAGGTGCCCGAGCTTCCCCGAGCTCACCCGACCACGACCGAGGGCAACGAAGGCACCGAAAGCGTCGACACAACAGCAGCCTCCAGCAAACGCCATTCGCCAGGGCCGTGGCACCGAAGCCGACCGCATCACCTACAGCCGCACCGCCCGCCTCCCGGAAAACTCCAGCTGCCCCCCAGGCAGCGCCAACGGATACGCTCTCCAGCATTCTCCAGATGCTAGCCACGCTGGATCTTCAAAAGGTGGTTTCTGTCGCCCAGAAGGTCGCGAACGCCCTAGCCGGTGCAACCGGCACAGCGGACATCCTAGCACGCCTACTAGGATGCGCACAGCACATCGTATCCCTATTTAACTGGGTAAGTTAATGAGAAAACAAAAAACTAATCCGTGCTCTTTACAGGTGTTTTTTTGGAAGGCACGCGTTCTCCGGGATAAACATTTAGAGCTACTTGAGCTAGCGGAAAAGCTCTCAATAGATGTTGTTCATATTAGCGAAACCCACCTACGGGAAGGTATAACTGCGAAGTTACCAAACTATGCTTTATACCGGACCGACCGAGAAAACAGGTTAGGTAGTGGTACAGTCGTGTATGTTAAGCTCTCGCTCGAACACTATCCCGTTGCCGTTGTGTCTACAGAACAAATAGAAACGACAACTGTCGAAGTCGTGACGACAAGAGGCCCTCTACGTCTGATAGCAGAATACCGACCGTCCGGCCGCCCAATCACAGCAGAGGACCTAGACGATATCCTGCACGCTGAAGTAGCAACAATTGCCGCCGGCGACTTCAATTCCAAATACCCAGCTTGGAACAGTCGCCGAACAAACGCAAGCGGCACGGTCCTGTACAACTATGCACAAACCAGGAACGTAGTTTAAGTAGTAGTAGTCGGGCCAGACGAAGCTACATACCCCGCAGAAAACGGTGCATGGCTGCCAGACGTTTTGGACATCACCATCTTTAAGGACGTCGTACAAGACTTCACGCTGTCAGCGGTAAGTGAGCTTTCCTCAGACCACAACCCGGTTATTCTGTCTATAGGTGACAACTTTTAAATAATTAGGTATCTCACTTGAATAATAAATGACTATGATAAAACTTAATGTAATTTATTTTATTGAGAAAATACCAAACACATTTTATCGTGGCAGCGGTCATCGAACAACTAACTCCAAGTAAAGTAGTTTACATTACATAGGTGTCGCGCGATACAAATTTACTACCAACTTGACACGCCTCCTTAAATTTGTATCGCGTTTTAAACATAAAATAACATAAGCATTTTATAAAATACCTAGTGCTTTCCTAAACTTTTCGAATTTTATAATTCCTAACGATTTAGTGAGAATGTCAGCAACATTCTCTTCTGAATTTATTTTGACAACATCAACAGTTTTGTTCATATAATTCTCATTTACAAAATGATAATGAGTTTCAATATACTTGGAATTTTTTGTAAAATTTCCATGTTTGACTATGCTTATCGCACCTGAATTATCTTCATAAATTTTTATAGGTATTGAAACCTTAACCTTCACAACTTTTAATTCGCTTACACACTCTGATTATGCTACATATTCAGCAGATGTTGAAGATTTTGTTACGCTATTCTGTTTTTTAGATTTACAAAATATTATATTATTATACATTTTTAACACATAACCAGTCGTAGATTTTCTGTCAGTCACATCACCTGCCCAATCGGCATCTACATAACAACTTAGAGTATCAGAATTAACATTTTTATTATAAGTCAACTTCAAATCTGTGGTCAACAATAAATACTTAAGTACTCTTAACGCATATTTATAATGTGTGTTGTCATAACAGTTCTGGAATCGACTTAGATAATTTACACTAAAGCTTATGTCAGGTCCTGTACCTGAACTAATATATAGTAACGCACCAATCAAATTTCTACATTTAATCTCTTCCCTCACTACTTTTGCAGGTAATAATTTTAAATTTAGCTCCATCGGAGTTGCATACAATTTAGAGTTTTCAAGACTATATTTATTTCCTAATGATACAATGTAATTTTTTTGATTCAAAGTCATTTTCCCATTAACATAGTCATAATCGATATTAATACCAAGATAAGTTTAACATAACCAAAATCTTTCATTTGAAATCTTTCCATTAGCAATTTTTTAATATTATTTAACTTTTCTATATCTTTGCAACATATTAACAAATCATCGACAAATAAAATTAGGTAGACATTATTATCTTTCTCTTTTAAAACATACAAACAATTATCATTTCCACTTTTCTTGAAGTTTAAGTATCTTAAATCTGTTCCATCCTCAAAACCTTCAGGTTGTTTTACATACACTTCAGATTTGACTTTGCCATTTAAAAAGCCTGTTTTAACATCCATTTGTATTATAATTAAATTATTATTACAACAGTATGACAATAAAATTTTTAACGTTTGCATTCTTCCAACAGGTGAATAAATATCATCAATCAGTTCTTTTTGTTGATACCCCCTAACAACCAATCTTGCTTTATAAACATCATTAGCTTTTATAGTATAAACCCATTGAAGATCTAATATTTTTTGTTATTTGGTTTTTCGACACATACCCAAGTTTTATTTTTAATTAAACAGTCGATTTCTTTTTCCATTGCTTCTTCCCATCGTTCAGGACTTTTACTATTCATCGCTTCAGTATAGGAAATAGGATTACTTGCGTCTACATAATTTACATAAATAATGCTATTACAAACAATTCGTAATTAACTCTAGCAGGTTTTTTTCTTTCTCTAGTTGATCGTCTTAATTCGATATATTCAATATTGTACATATCATCATTATTATTTAAATTCTGATTATCATTGGAATTTTCGATATCATTTAAATTCTGATTAACATTCACATTTTCGTGATTACTTACATTCTTATCATTTAAACGAATTTCAGCAAAGTTTTTAATATTGCTTACTGAATCACGACCAATACAAGGTGTGCCCTCTTCAATTATATCAACATGTTTAGCAACAACAACTTTATTATTTATCAAGACTCTATAACCAACATTTTCATAACCTAACAACACACTCAGATCTGCTTTTTTATCCCATTTTGAATGTCTCTTTTGTTCAGGTACTCTTACAAAAACCCTACTACTAAACAGTTTTAAATGTTCTACACTCGGTTTCTCACCAAACATTATTCCGTAAGGAGTTTTATTTTTGACAATAGTATTTGTTATAATTCTATTCTTTAAATAAGCCGCTGTCTTAACAATTTCTGGCCAAAAACACTTATGTACCTTTGCTTCTGCTAACAAACATCTAGACATATCCATTATATCTCTATTATATTTTTCTGCTGTCCCATTTAGCTCATGAACATATGGCGGACAAGGTTCTATTTCAATATCTTTTTCACACGCAAATTTAGACATTTAGACATATATTCCTTACCATTATCACAGCGCAATTTCTTTATATTTTTACCAGTCATATTTTCAATTGAATTTATATATTCGACAAAACAGTTATAGACTTCACTCTTAGATTTAATTACATGAACCTGAGCCGCTTTACTAAAATCATCAATGAAAGTCAAAAAACATCGTTCCTCATTCAATCCAGGAGTACTATGAGGACCATTCAGATCTGTGTGAACAATTTCTAATATATCACTTGCCCTAGTTCTTCCATTTTTAAATGGCAAATTATGCATTTTATTTTCTAAACATATACCACACTTAAAATAATCAGACTCTAACTCTTTAGGCAGACCTTTTAATACTTGTTTATCACACATAGTTTTCAAATAGTTATAATTTATATGACCTAGTGTTATGTGATATTTTTCTCTCTCAGTCATTCATTGAGTTCAATTTATTTTTGTAAAGTGCAATTTCACGTATCTCTGAGTTCATCATTACTCTTGCTAGTTGCTGATGTTTGCACAAACGCTCACTTTTTAAATCTACACATTGTTGAAATTCACTTTCACTTACACTAACGAAAAGCTGCTTAGATTTGTCGATGGCCAGGTAAGTGACTGATGGTTGAATGAAGATGAATGATCCTGAAGCATTAAATGGTAAGGGATGCAATTTAAAAACAGTGCATTCTTCGTCCTTCTCTAGTAGAACTTTTATAACCATGATTAGCTTGTGAAGAAGATGACTATTTTCCGTTGATAGAAAAACAGGATAGTGTAGTCGCGGGGAAAGGTAGGAAAGAGCTTTTTGATTACTGCGATTAACTGGTTAGGGCTAAGGATAGAAGGATGTATCTGACCCACTCTGGCTACAATAAGCGCATTTATCAAGTTCTGAATATCAATCTGATATTGGTTAATTATGGATGTTAAAATATTGACATGTTTTACAAATTTAACTTCTATATCTATATTCGTCTTAACGTTTGAAACTTCAGAATACATTAATTTATAAGAATCTGCAAGTTCGTCAAGATTTTTCTGCACCAAGGCTTCGTTATGTACAACATTACTAATTGTTTGATTAATGGAATGAACGGTACCTTGAACTACGGATGTTTGTTTAACAAGTAAGTTATGCATTTTACGTTCATTTTCGGAAATTTCTGAAATGGTTTTGTCATAATACAAGGCATCATCCGCGTCAGGAGTTCCGAAAAGTATTTTCTCGGCTTTACCAATTATATCAAATAATCCACGTCTTTTCCGGAGAGGTAAATTATTAGATCCGACAAGATCTTGAACAAGAATAGTTTGAGCTTTTATTTTCTGTATGATTTCTCGAGTTACTGCTAAATATTGGCTGCAAGTAGAGGTGACGTAGTCTTTTAATTTATTGCACATAGAGATTGTTCTATCGTTAAAATTAACAAGTCTTTCGAAATTGTCAAGATATTGTTTAATATCTACATGTGTTATTAATTTCCACTCATTGCTATAGAACTGAACATTGGCCATTTTCTCAAAATAAATTCCAGGATTATGTTGGATTTGGGTTACTAAAAAGTTTTCTTCACAAAAGTGTAGAGGAAATATGGAGATTAAGAAAATAAGAATGAAAGGAAGGAACTTCATTATCTGAAACTATAAAAATCCNAAATACATTTGACATTTTATTTCTTATCATTTGACCAACAACATTGAAGTCATGTACTATGTTACCTATTTTAGTAGCTTTTAATATACGACCATCAGCAATTTTAACATCCACAGGTGTTTTAAGAACAATTGATTAATAAAAGTATTCATCATTATTGACAATGTGGTCAGAACATCGACTATCTAAAAGCCATTCTACTTTATCAAAGCAACCATTAACTATAGATTTATGTGATGCAATCTCAGTACAATAACTACTTGAGCTGCCATCTTCCGCTCTTTGGTAATAACCTTGCTGCCAACCGCCACCACGACGATGTTGACTGGAGCCCCGGCTCCCACGACTGTTGCCACGATACTGCCAACTTTGTTGGCGTCCGCCTACTTGCTGATACATGCCACCTCTGGGTTTCCATGAATTTTCGCCCGGCTTTGTATTGGGACACTGAGCTTTGAAATGTCCAAATTTTCCACACTTGAAACAATTTTGTCCTTGTTTTTTTTCAGTTTTGAATACACTTGCACTATTTTTGCTATTATCTTCTTTTTCTTTTTGTTTATTCATTTTAATTTTACTTTTCACATACTCGACAGTTTGATCTCTTTCTTTCAACAAGGTCTCCAACATAGCTCAACGAACTTGGAAGCATTTTTATCATCAATTTTTCCATTCCAGAAACTGTAGCCCCAGCACTTCTTAACTCATTAATTATCTTTTCAAATTCAGCAAAAAATGTAGCTGAATCTTCAAAATCTTTTAATCTAAGCCTTTCTAGTTAATTTCTTACACATATTTGAAGAGCAGTTGATTCTGTCAAATACATCTCATCGAATTTTTTCATAATGTCATAGGCCGTTTCTTTGTCTTTAATAAATTGTAACTGATCATTCGAAATTCCACTGTATATTATATTTATAGCTTTCAAATCCATTTCATTCCACTCTCCTTCGTTTTCGTTTGCACGTTCTCTAACTGCAACAACTTCACATTTCTTCATTTTCAGAATCATTATAATTCTTTTCTTCTTTCGAAAACGGGAATTTTTATTTCGTTCACCATTTTGCTCACAAACTGAGACCTTTTTTTTTTCTTAAAAACAATTTTCAACTGAAACTTTTCCACGAACTTTATTCTTTAAAAATGCAGGATTCAACCGTCACTTTTTTTCCTTTCTCCTCTTACTTCCAACTCAACAACCAAATTTTCATCGAACCACGCTCTGCTACCATATTAAATAATTAGGTATCTCACTTGAATAATAAATAACTATGATAAAACTTAATGTAATTTATTTTATTGAGAAAATACCAAACACATTTTTAAATTTTAAATTACATAGGTGTCGCGCGATACAAATTTACTACCAACTTGACAACAACAACAGCACCGTCTACGAAAGAAAGTCCACCTGTTAGCCAGCATTTACCGACCATCTTCAGGTAAATTTTCCTAAGATCAAAGTAATCCGAAGCCAACAGGACATCGAAGAAGCCGTCGACACATTTACAACCGCAGTACTGTCGTCACTGGAACAAACGACAAGGATCAACACAACGACAAGGACACCGATTCGCATCCCTGCCACACTCGTTCGACTTATCAGGGAGAAAAATCGAGCCCGACGCCGTTGGCAGCGAACCCGGAACCCGGTCGACCGGGCCGAAATGAACCAGTTGTCGCAACAAGTGAAAGACGCGCTTTTGGATGTACACGGTGAATGGTGGCAGGTAAGGCTCACTAACGCAGATCAGCTTCCAGGTTTCCTGTGGAAATTAGCACGTTCGCTGAAGGACGAATCACGTGGCACCACTCCCATTCACGGAGAGCGCGGGGTGGTATACGTACCATCCGAAAAGGCGGAAACCTTCGCGGACTGCCTAGAGATCGCTTTCCGACATAACGAGGATAACGTAGACGATGACCGAATCGAACAAGTCGACCGCGCCGTTCAACGTCTACTTAGAGCAGCCCACACAGGTTTCGTAAAACCGACCAACCCGCAGGAGATAAGGGAGTTACTGAAGGCTACCAATCCTAGGAAAGCTTCCGGCCCTGATGGAGTTTCAGCAACAAATTCTACGAGTGGTGGAATTCGCGACAGCTGGTTTCAACCGAAAGCAATCAACAGAGGCGATTTTTCTCGACGTTTCGAAAGCTTTCGATAAGGTATGGCATAATGGCTTAATTTACAAACTTTTTTGTGCAGGTTACCACCCGGCTTTAGTTAAAACTATTGCGTTATTCCTCCGGGATTGCAGTTTTACTGTGAAACTAGGAGATGTCCGCTCTAGTTCTCGTACAATGGAGGCTGGAACCCCACAGGGTTCACCGCTATCGCCGCTTCTGTTCGCAATCTACCCCACCGACACACCGAAGACGGCGGGTACGCCGACGACACAACCGTAATGACAAAGTCGATAGCACCGCATGTCATCACGGAACGGTTACAGGAATCCGCCAACCGATTGGAGGATTGGTTCAGAACCTAGCGTATAGCGGTGAACCCGGAAAAGAGCTGCGCTCTTTTTTTTACGAAACGAAGACAGAGCCCGTTTGGTCAAGTCACCCTTTTCGGCCGTCCGATCCCTTGGAAAACCGAAGCTAAGTACCTAGGTATCCAGCTAGACCGCGGACTTACATGGAAACATCACACCGATCATTGCACTCAAAATGCATCAGCAGTGATGTTTCTCCTGTACCCGCTTATAAATCATAGGAACAAACTAAGCCTCAACAACAAACTTCGGCTATACACATCGATCATTAGACCGGCGATGACGTACACCGCACCAGTGTATTCATACGTAGCCAAGACGCACTTGAACAAACTTCAATTCGTTCAAAACAAGGCATTGAGGCTTGCGACGAATGCTCCTTGGTTCGTTTCGAATGCGACGCTTCACCAGGACTTAAAGGTCCCTTGGGTTAAGGACTTACTTCAAGAGATGGCAACAAAAACCTTCGTAACCTGCCAAACCCGCCATAACGCGCTGGTTCGCGAAATAGTAGGATACAATGAGCACGTGCCTTACAAGCATAAACGACCCAAAATGACCATGTTAAACTAATTCACAATAACCAACTAACAACGGTCGTTGCTCGATGTGATATGTACTAACCATTCCGTATCTTTACATTAACAGATTATTTATTTATTTATCCACAGATTGTTTATACATATTTATAAAACACAAGTGTATATAACATGTAAATATGTAAAACAATTCCAGTTTCAGATGTCCAGAACCATATGGCTCATTGTTCACCTTTACAGACAAACGATGGTTCTAAGTTATTTCAATTAACAAACACACGAGAAAGTATCTGTTTCAGATTTCAAGGAGAAGTCACAGAACTGGAACTTGAAGAACGAGGGGTTTTAGTGAGTAAGACACTACCACGCCGAACCAATTGCGTGGTGCCTTTTGAAGGTTTCCCCTCTAGCCAATGCCACAAAAAAAAAGTCATCGACATACCACATCGAACCTTCGAGCCGAGCAGACTAGCACCAAACCAATCCAGCAACCAACCAACCACCAGCAGTCAGCAAACGACCACGAGCGGAACGAAATTGTTCGATTGCTTCAGCTTTTTTTCACAGATAAACTCTACCAGAAGTAAGCAGTAGACCAGTAGCGCAGCCGACAGAGGTAAAAATATACAATTTATTATAACTAACCGACATTCACTGGGACCGAGTACGCAACGTCCCTTTGAATTAACACTATCCCTACAACAGTCAACAATCTAATCAACTAACCAGCTCCTTCAATTTTTTGAACAATCAAACACTGACACATTCAACAACACTTACACTATGGAAACACCCACCACCAAAAACCCCAGAACCACTTCTCCCGACGAGCAACCTTTTCGAGTAGTTAAACGTCCCAGAAACCGATTCTCTTCATACTCCTCCGCATGCTCATCTTCATCTAAATCCCAATCCCCTAGACCTGAAACCTTCCTGCCAATATTCACGGCACTAATCATAAATATCCCTAACAAATTTGCGAATCAAAAGACCTTTTCACCACGTTAAAAAGCCTGCCATCCTTCATTTTCGTCTCGCTGACCGTCTTTCGAGACAATAAAGCCTTGGTCACTTCCCGTGATCCCGACCTAGTGAATAAACTGAAACCTTTACGATCCTTGCTATCCGAAAAAATCCAACTACAAGAAAAGAAAAACAAAAAAACCTTACTCCCGACTCCAAATATCCGCAATCACAAACCTACCTGTTCCTGTGTGGCCCGCTCGGTCGACTTAAACATCTCTTCAACAGACGTCCTAACTGCGTTAAAGGACCAAAACATTGAGGCCAAAAGCGCTTGGCGCATTAAGTCCAGGCAAACGAGCAAGGATACGTTCTTGTTTCGCATAATCTCCACTTGCCCTAAATCAATCGACACATTATTATCAAAAGGCTTCAAGATGTTCTCTCGCAACTATCGCTGCGAACCATCCCAGTCTCCCAGCCCTCAGCCACTTCAGTGCGGCAAATGCTTTGGCCACAATTTCACATCGTGTCAACAGAAACCGCTTTGCTACCGCTGCGGATTGAAACATGACCCTGCCACCTGCACATCTTCTCCTTCTTGTACCAACTGCAAAGGTAAACACCTTGCCTTCGACAGTAAATGTCCCAAGCGTCCCGACCCAAAAATCTATACTCCCTCAAAGACAACCCCGGTTAAGTGCGTATATCCACCAGCCGAATAAATTTCAGACGACGACGATTCCGCTACTGAACTTACCTCCAATCCCGAACCCGAACGTTTCACCAGGATCGAAGACGTCATTCGATTCACTTATTTATGTATGTTATCCCTAGACCCGAACTTCAGGCTCGTCGAAGACGTTGTAATCTGACACGCCGCCCAATTCTTCAGGCGCATAGTGTCGTACGTAATGCGAGGCAGCCAATTTACATATTTCAATTATCCATCTCTCAAAACCCCAAAAACCTACTCCCATTCCTAAACACCCACCATTCCCATCGGTAGCTCATCACCCCCACTGACTTACATTCACTGACATAAAGATATCGACTGTCAACGCGTGCGGCTGGAAACGAAAAAAGAATAGCGTCTTACATACACTACTCACCGACGCTATTCATATACTAGCCTTACAGGAAACGCTATCGAACCGAAATGAAAGATACCTTGCCCCACAATACGGCAACGACAAACGCTTACGACTCAGAGGTACAGCGCTACTAATACACAACACACTCGCTTCTAGTCGCTTTTTCCTTCCTCCTCAATTCCAGGAACTTGACTACGTTGCAGCTACACTACACCTACGCACCGACGATATAATCGTTATATCGTTCTACAACAGTCCTACCGTCAAGCATCCTGCCGAGTGCCTATCCTACATATCCACCATTCCTAGAGTCATAATTTTAGGAGATTTCAATGCGCGACACACTACTTTCGGCGATTCCGCAACAAATCGTAACGGGCGCATTCTCTCTAACGCGTTTCTTTCTCTAAATCTGTTCCGCGTTCAAAACACTCACATAACGTTCCTTAGTCACCTTGGCTCCCCTATTCCCGACCATATACTCTGCACGGACAGAGCGGACCATTGCGAAATAGGGACACTAATAATTAGCGATCATTTACTGCTCACTGCCACACTTAATATACAAACGCGCAAAATAGCACAAATGGCGTATAAAGCAATCCGGGATTATGAAAACATAAACTTCGATAATTTTCGCGAACATATAACGAACGCAAACTTACTCCCACCGAACGTAGATAATCAAATAGACATCGATACCGCGATAAACACATATAGCACATGCGTTCAAAACGCGATAGACCAGACAGCACCAGTTAAACGAATTAGCATAGGCAGAAAACCTTTTCCGCGTTAGATAGTCAAACTCATAAAAAGAAAACGCGATCTATACTATCTCTACTTCAGAACAAGAAATCCAGTGGTAAAAACTGAATGGAACAGGTTAAACGCGCTAGTACGCCTAAACATAAACACACATCGTGAAAACCGATGGTACAAGATCTGTTCCAAACTAAATTACCATAACGGATCTGAATTCTGGAGCAAATTTAAAGCCCTTACCGGACAGAAGCAATCAACTGTAAACCACCTCGTAGTCAACGATTTAATACATAACAACCCTGAAGAAAAAGCAAACGCATTCGCCGTCACCATTCAAAATTTGCATGTAACATACACCGGACCACATCACGACGCGACACACACAGCGTCATTAATAATTACATAAGACGAACTTTGCATGCCGCACAACACACGCGAGACAATATTATGGCCGAAATAACACAAGACGACATAACTTACACATTCGCGAAACTAAAAAACAATACGCCTGGTGAAGACGGCATCCCCAACAACATCATTAAATTGATTTTTCTTTTGAAATAAACACTTGAAAAACAACTTTCACTAAATATATTTATATTGAATCTTGACAAATTCGTTTCAACCTACAAGGTCATCTTCGGAAGAATATTTGAAGTTAACAAATTTGGTTCTTATATACTAATTCTTTAGGGTGGGGTGTTTTACAGATATTTTGCACAAAGTTTTACAGTTGGGGAATTGTAAACATTTTCGATTTCATTGAGGACACTTTCCGAATTACAATTTAAGTGTTTCATAATTTCTATAGATTCTAATATAGTAAGTTTTTTACTTTTGTCTTTAAACTGCAAAACTTTTACATTTTCTTCTTTGTCAAAATTTTTACAATATGATTCATAAAAGCAGATTTACCATTGTAATTTTTGCTGTGTTCGTATATCCGTTCCTTAAAAGTCAGACCCGTTTGTCCTATATAGACTACATTGCATGAATCACAGCATAATTTATACACACCACATTTCTGTAACAAATCGGTTTTATCTTTTCTACAATTTATAAAATTAAAAAGGTTGTTATTTGTTTTGAAACCAATTTTAAGCAACATCATTAAAAACTTATCACCTACGGCAATAGATTTCCTTACGCGAATATTCAACGGAATATTAACAACGGGTTACTATCCCACAAAATTGAAAAGCGCAAACGTTATCATGATACCCAAACCGGAAAAATATCCGACAAACCCTACATCAAACCGACCAATATCCTTAGTTAACAATACGGGAAAAATATTCGAACCGATAATCGCAATTCGCCTTTCAGACTATTGCAGGGACAACAGTATAATTCCTAACACACAGACCGGGTTCCGAAAGGGCCTCAGCTCCCTTGAAATTACAAACCGAAGCCACTTCCTATATGAATTCGGGCGGCTGTACCCTGGCGATAGCATTAGATTTCGAAAGAGCTTTCGACACCATTTGGCATAAAGGATTATTATCAATATTATTAGTAATCAACCTCCCCCCTTTCTTCGTCAAACTGATACAATCGTTTTTAACCAACAGACCTTCCAGAATTAAAATCGGGAATACATTTTCAAATACTTTCACGATATCCGCCGGTGTACCCCAAGGTACGGTTCTAGCTCCACTATTGTATAACATTTACTGTTACGATATGCCACAGCCAGTCGACAATACGATAATTCTTGCTCAATACGCGGACGACACGGCCTACTGGGCTCACGGCATCAGTTCAGAAGCATGCAACACTAAACTCAACCGACAAATCCAACGACTAGAATTATGGCTCAGTAAATGGAGAATAAAACCTAACCCAACCAAAACACAATTAATACTTTTCAGACACTGTTACTACCAACGTAAATACAAACTATGCTCAGATGATGTCCTCGGGAATCCGACACTACTCAGTCGTACGGACGGCTGGGTGCCTTTTGAAGATTTCCTCTCTTTCACGAAAACATAAAAAAAAAAGCTGTCATCGATCGATACCACATCGAACCTTCGAAGCGAGCAGACGATCACCAGCCGACAAGCAGCAAACTATAGCCAACTGGCAAACCCAAAGCAGCAGTCAGCGCACATCCAGCGCACTTCAAATTCAATAGTCGCAAATTATTGCAAATTTTATCACAGCTATCTCCAAGTATCTTCTACAGCCCGGCCGATCTCGGTAAGCAAAGTTGACTATCATTTTAATTATTAACCGACATTCTTAGGGACCGTGTACGCAACGTCCCTCTGAATTAACACTGTCCCTACCAATTCG